CTCTATATACTATGATCATCCACCAAGGCATCATTAAATCCAGTATTTAAAAAATGGAAAGAATTTGACACAACTGTGACTCTGCCTAGATGACGCGCCAAAAGTCAGTGACCATGTAAGGGGGGGATTAGAGAAACAACCAAGAGGCTAAGGGTAACTTCTAATATGATGCTACCACCACCATGCATCACTGTGGGGATGGTGTTCTCAGGGTGATGAGCTGTGTTGAGTTTCCACCAGAGTGCTTTGTGCCAAGGCTAAAAAGTTTTGGCACATCAGCCCAGACAGCCTATTTTCACATGTTTGTACAGTCCCGAACAAACTCTAAAGAACCTCAAATCAATCAAAATTTCATATGGCTTGTCACTCTTCCATAAAGCCCAGCTTGGTAGAGTGTCCAGGTTGTCCTGTGAACAGCTTGTCCCATCTGAGCTGTGTATCTCCCCAGTTCCTTCAGAGTTACCCTTGGCCTCTTGGCTGCTTCTCTGACTAATGCCATCTTTACCCAGTCACTGACTTTTAGAGGATGGCGTCCTCTAGTTGTGGTTGTGCCATATTCTTTGCATTTTTAAATAGTGGACTTAGGTTTGGGATATATTTAGAACCAAAACCTGGTTATGGGCTATTTCATATAGATTCATGATATATAATCCTAATGAAGTCTTTTTCAGTTCCACATTATAACATTACAAAATGTGTAAAAGTTCAAAGGGGTGAATATTTATACATGACACTCTATATCATTCTTCTTCCCGATACTGTTGTAGTCGCAAATGAATAATTGTTCGTTCGTGAGCATTTACAGGTTTCATGTCTTACCTGCAGCCTGTGGATTAAATAAAGAGATTATGAAACTCACTTTCTCCTTTCGGTTTTCAGTCAGATTTCTCTTTGTCTTGTTGCAGCCTGGTGCATCTGTTCCTAAGGAGAAATGTAATAAGTGTGTGTGTTCCGATGAAGTGGACTCCCAAACTAAACTGCACAAAATCTCATGCACTCCTATTCCCTGTGACCCACAATGTCCACTGGTGAGTAGGGAGAGATTCACATTGTGACACTGTTTCGTCATG